TGCCCCCCTCCGTCCGCCTCCAGCAGCCCCGACTCTGTAGGTCCTCCTTTGAGACCAGGCCTCTGCTCCCACCATGTGTCCCCATGGTCCTCGTCCCCATGACGCATGCTGGGCCTTTGCACCCACAGGACCAGCTCCAGCAGAAGATCATGTGCCCCGGGCCCGTCACCTGCCTGACCACATCGCCCGATGGCCTCTACCTCCTGGCCGGCATTGAGGAGAGCATCTACCTGTGGGAGGTGAGCCGAGCTTCCTCTCACTAGTGTGGAGGCTCCAGGGCCGCGGACAGGATCCCCAGCCACTTCCTCCGGCGGCTCTGCAGACCAGCCGCAGATGACCTGTCCTGGTGGGTTGGCAGGTCCCTGAGCGCCAGCTGATACCAGCTCAGTGGTCAGCTCCCAACACTGACCACCAGAGGGCAGCGTCGTGTCATCCTGAGGCCAGGACTCCAGCTCCTGACCCGACAGGGTGAGGGGACCCGGGTGAGGGGACCCGGAGCTGCACGCCGGAGTTGGGCTGGGAATTCCTTGGTTCCTCTGCTCTGAGCATCTGGGATCCACCGCACACGGGGCCCCTGGCCACCTTCCAGGGGTGGGATGTGGCCTCGAGCTTTGTCCCAACCACAAGGCTTTGAGTGCATGTGTGTCTGTACCTGTGTGTACCTGCATAGGTGTGAATGTGCACACGTGTGTGTCTGCATGGAAGTGAGCTTGTATGTGCTCACATGGGTGTGGGCGTGTCCTGTGTGTGTGCTCACATGGGTGTGAGCGTGTCCTCTGTGTGTGTGCTCACATGGGTGTGAGCGTGTCCTGTGTCTGTGCTCACATGGGTGTGAGCGTGTCCTCTGTGTGCTCACATGGGTGTGGGCGTGTCCTGTGTGTGTGCTCACATGGGTGTGAGCGTGTCCTGTGTGTGTCTGCCCACATGGGTGTGGGCGTGTCCTCTGTGCCCACATGGGTGTGAGCGTGTCCTGTGTGTGCTCACATGGGTGTGAGCGTGTCCTGTGCGTGTGTCCACATGGGTGTGAGTGTGTCCTCTGTGTGTGCTCACATGGGTGTGGGCATGTCCTCTGTGTGCTCACATGGGTGTGAGCGTGTCCTGTGTGTGTGTGTCCACATGGGTGTGGGCGTGTCCTGTGTGTGTGCTCACATGGGTGTG